TCACAGGAGCTGGACAGTGGTCCATTCAAGGCTGGAGTATTTATGCTCCTGAAGAATACTTGCGCTTTGGCTATCAATTGCACAGGTGACAAGACTGACATTGTTTTGAAGGTTAAGAAATTGAATGCAATTTCTTCTGATGGAAAAAAATATTTTTTTCAGGATACAAGTTTTAGGCTTGCCAAGAGCTTAAATAAATCCCAGCTGACTATAATAAAGTGAAGTGAAGTAATATAGAAATTATTTAGGCCAGAAAAATGTAAACCTGGTTTACTACGAGTTTGATCCTTCACCACATAAAAACCTTAAAATCACTCTTGTGGATTTTTAGTGGCATTGTCAGATGGTGAGTAGTGAGTTTGAAGAGATAAAGCTGGGGCCAGAACATAGAAAGCTGTGAAAGCCAATCTAAAGGATTTGAACTTTATTTGGCACTCAGTGGGAGCCACTGAAAATTTTTCAGCAGAAAAATGAAAGATGAACTTGGTTGTTAATTCTTGTGATATGAGGAACTGAGCCACTTAATGTTGGGGGAAGATCAAGTGCGGGGTGTGATGTAATAGTCTTTTACTAGAGTGATGGCCGTGGATATGTATATATTATTTAGAAATGGATGCAACTAACATTTAATGGAGAATTCACAGCACCAGGCTAGATATGAGGAATGGAGTCAAGCTAGTGACCAATAAGGTTGGAACATTCATGACTGGGATGGGAGAAGACAGCTGCCCCTGATTCAAAAAATCTTGCTATAAGAGACAAAGCCTAGGACTCTAATCTCAGGGTTTCCCAACCAATTCTCTTTCCATTGTAGCTACTGCCTGATTTGGAATGTTAAAGCTAGTCTGAAAGATTACAAGCCTTAGCAGGTAACTTGATATGGTATAACACTCAGTTATATTATCTTCAGGATTTTTTTCTTAGATCCTAGTTATAATCTTAGCTTTTGTGCTAACTAGTTTTGTGATCTGGAGCAAATCATTTGCCTTTGACAGCTTTTATTTTTTTTCAATTTAATATTGCACAGATATATTTCTTATCTACCATTTCTACTTGAGAGTAGCAATGTGGATACATACCATGTGGATCCTTTACATTGTTTATAATACCTAAGATGTTTCTTTGTAAAAGGGCTTCAAATTAATGAATGCAAATTGTGAGAACCACTTGTTAAAAACAGTAAGGTGTTAATTTCAAAACAAAAAATACCCCCAAACTTTTAATATTAATTTAGGCTGGAGGAGAAACTCCCCTACCTTTTACTAGGCTTCTGATTACTTAAGAACGTTATCTAACATTCATAAGTACCTGTGAACCACAGACACTTTCTACTTTATAACAAGAAAACACCTCATTTCCCAGGAGAACTTTTTCTCCCAGGCTTTTCTTCATCCTTCCTTGTAAGATTTCATATGGCAGCAATAAAGGACAAAGGGGACCCTGAGAAACACCTTTCATATTTAAGGTTAACACAAAGCATGGTTTGGTTTCTCTACTTTAATGGAAGAAAAATATCTACATTATATACTTATATTATAGGTTTCCTCACCTTCTTGTGATCGATGTTACCAGTATTTGGTTCTTACTCCTGTACAAACAACTTAGAGCACTTAAGGGAGGGAAGGCAGGCAGGCAGGTAGCCCACAGAAGGAGGTTTTTGGACTGATGGAATGCTCCCTGTACAGCACTCTGTTTCAGTATACCCTCAAAATCCTCCAGGAACTCTGGCCAGTTCTACACAGCACCATCATACCACCTTTTCTGGAATGGTTTGCAAAATGTCTTTAGAGGCAATTCTGAAAGAATAGTTTCAAAATTAGTCTAAGTAACATTAATATTAGCATCACTACAGTAAGTACATGATTTCCCAAGGGTATCATTTTAAAGGATAATAATTTAATCTATGAGTTGTTTTAAAAGCATTGAAGTTTATTTTTAAATTACATAAAAAGCACTGTTTAAACAATGGTGCTTTTTATAACCAGTGAACTTTAAGAAAACTTGTAGGCACGTAGGTGGGACTGAAATATTCTTGATTTTATAGTTTAAGGGCCAAATTGAGCACTGTGTACGTCTGCAACAGCTATCTTTAAAAACTTAGAGGCTGCTGGACACTTGGTGAGGGATCAGAATTTTTTTTTAAAGATGCAGATGAATGGAATGTGTTATTTCAAAGCTTGTTTGGCAAAAAAAAAAAAAAAAGAAGAAGAAGAAGAAGTAATAAAGCAGAATGGATGACCTACCTTTTTTGGGCTCAAGTGATCCTCCCACCTCAGCTTCCAATGTAGCTGGGACTACAGGTGTGTGCTATGCCACACCCAGCTAATTTTTAATTTTTTTTGTAGGCACAGTCTCACTATGTTGCCCAGGCTGGCCTCAAACTCCTGGGCTCAAGTGATCCTCTGGCCTCAGCTTCCCAAAGTGCTGGGGTTGCAGGCATCAAACACTGCACCCAACCCCCATCTCAATTTTGTAGAGAGGCAGTATAGTATGAGAGACATAAAACCGTTTTTGTAGCTCAATAGACCTAGTTAACATTCCTGGCTTCACCCCTTTGTAGATGAGTAAACCTCTGCAAATTATTTTCTCTGAGGCCCAGTTTCCTTACTCGTAAAATGCCTGGTGAAGTGACTGGCAAACAGAAGGTATTCAAGAAATATCAGTTCTTTTGTGAGGGTGTTTTTTTCAAGCTAAGGATTGCAACCCATTGGCAGATTATTAAATCAATTTAGTGGGTTGCAACTGGCATATTTTGAAAACTGAAACAATAAAAAACCTCAGAAGGGTAAGTATTGTTTGTTAAGCATATGCTAAGGTTTGATATAAATGCATTTTTTACTGTGGGTTACAGCCAAATGGTTTAAAAGTCTCTGCTCTACAAAGAAATTCTCAGATTATGGGAAAAAGGCCTTAGGATTGCTGCCTTTATCCAAATGAAGGCCCACAAAATAAGACCTTAATCAAAGAGTTCCCTACTTTCTAACTTATTGCAGTAAAAATAAGGCATGAATTGGAGAAGATATTTAATCGGATATGATAAAACATTAAATTCAATTTTAGGATTGGTTTCTGCGTCATACTAACTACTGCTCATAAACACTTTATAGTTGATCAAACTCTTCTAGCAATTTCTATGAAAAAGTTGGCTACTAGGTTCCATTATGGGGAAAAGAGATTTACTTTTTAAAAGGACTATAACTTGCCTATGTGTGAAGACCACTAGAGTAATATTCCAATTGTGATGAGCAGTAAAAGTCAAGGGTGTACATACAGTGGTGTTCCACACTGGCTCAGTAAAAATGAGAGATATCACACAAAGTGTGAGCTTCAAATACAGGCTTCCTTTCTCCTTCAGGTCCTATGTAAACCATACTTAGCTTATAATGAATCCCTAGTGCTGCTGCTAAGTTGGTGGGCTGAAAGGATAGACAATTTGGGGTTGGAGGAGTGGGGTCATATGCATTGATGAAGAAGGGTAGAATACTGGGAATTTCAGAATTAAATGACACAGCTGAATCTTGATGTAACTGTTTCTTATAATTTCAGCTAACTATGCTGGACTAGTGATGTCAGAATTACCCCTGGAACTGAGGTTTAGGAATCTTGCTTTAAGTTAAGTGCCTGGGTGAGTTCTGATCCTCATTCAGGTTTGAACATCCTGTGTTAAAGGGACAGAGCAAGGTCCAGAAACTAGAGAAGAGGTGTAGTTCAAAAGTAATTATCCCAGCCTCACAAGTGTCCAATATCGGATACTGGATCAGACTCTGACACTTATTCAAAGTATTTCCTTCTTGGTATTATTATGTTAATGATATATACCAGCAGACAGCAATACTTCATACTTTCTAGTTTTTTAATGATACTAAGAAATGGTGCTGTTTCACTGGAATTCACTGGTGAGATTCAAGAAGTATGAAAGGAAAGTCTCTTTAGATTAGACAGGGACATAAAAGGCAGCAATCAATAAGTTATTAAAAGTAGGCCAGGAGCGATGGTTCACTCCTGTAATCTCAGCACTTTGGAAGGTCAGGGCAGGCTGATCACCTGAGGTCGGGAGTTCGAGACCTGCCTGACCAACATGGAGAAACCCCATCTCTACTAAAAATACAAAATATTAGCCAGGCATGGTGGCAGGTGCCTGTAATCCCAGCTGCTCTGGAGGCTGAGGCAGGAGAATTGCTTGAACCTGGGAGGCAGAGGTTGTGGTGAGCTCAGATCGTGCCATTGCACTCCAGCCTGGGCAACAATAGTGAAACTGCATCTCA